GGTTGATTAGCTTTGTATGTCTATATGTGTTTTCATGAGAAACTACATTGAATATATCAATATGTAATACAGTAAGCATTGTTAATTCCCTACCACTCTGTTTGTAACTCTGTAATGTCTGTACTGATCCTTTGCTATTTTGTAAAACGTTGTCGATCTGTTAGTAGTTTCCTCCTTTTATTTCTAAAATAAAATTAAAAAAAAGAAAGAAAATTACAGTACTCTTGAAAACAGGATCAAAGAGGATATCAGAAAATGCTAAGATATCCCTTGCTCATGGATAGGAAGAACTAACATTGTGAAAATGGCCATAGTCCCCCCAAAATACTATATAGATTTAATGCAACACTGATCAAAATACCATTAGCATACCTCACAGATCTACAGAGAACATTCTTAAAGTTTGTTTGAAAACAGAAGAGACATAGAATAGCAAAGGCAATTCTGGGCAGCAAAGGCAAGGAAGGAGGCACCAGAATCCCTGACTTGAAACTATACTTTAAAACTCCTGTGAGAAAATCAACATGGTACTGGTAAAGGAAAGACTGGAGGATCAGTGCAACAGATTAGAAGATGCAGACACAAGTAGAAACACACTCCACCACCTTATCTTTGATAAAGGGGCCAAACATGTTCATTTCAAGAATGATAACCTCTTTAGTAAATGGTGCAGGAAAAAACTTGCTTTCCATATGCCAAAGACTAAAACTAGACCCATGTGTATCATCATGCATTAAACTAAAGTCAAAATGATTCAAAAATGTAAATATTAAAACAGAAACTCTAAATCTGGAAGAGAAAGTAGGTAGAAATCTTGAAGACATAGGTGTAGGCAGGAAGTTAACTTGTGAAACCAAACTGCTTGTGAAGTATTTCAAAGAGTCAACAACTGGGATCTCATCTTATTAAAAAGATTTGGCCATCAAACAAATCACAAATGGGTGAAAAGAAGACACATAGATTGGGAATAAATTCAAGCCAACTGTCCCTCAGAAAAAGTACTTCTATCTGAAACACATAAAGATTTGAAAAAAAATCAGATTCCCCAAATTCAAAGACCCAATCCAAATATGGGCATTTGAGAAGAATACACACTTCTCAGATGAAGAAACACAAGTGGCAAATAAATATATGAAAAAATATTCAAGATCAGTGGTCATTTAAGAAATGCAAATTAAAATACTCAGATTCCATCTCACCCCAGAAATTATGGCTACCATCCAAAAAATCAACTAAAAACGCTGGAGGGGTTGTGAGGAAAAAGGAACTCTTCTCCTCTGCTGGTGGGGGTGTAGGCTGGTACAACCACTGTGGAAATCAGTGTGGAGATTCCTAAAAAAACTAGGATTAGAGGCCCCATTTGACCAAGCTCTGCCCCTTCTGGGAATTTTCCCAGAAGAATTAAAAACAGCCCACCACAGCAATGTACGTGCACTCATGTTTATATCAGCACAATTTGTAATAAGGAAATCTTGGAAACAACTCAAATGCCCATCACCTGAGCAATGAATAAAAAAGATGTAGTATTTGTATACAATGGAGTACTACTCAGCTATAAAGAAGGCTAAACTCAAGGCTTTTGTAGATAAATAGATGCAACCAGACCATACTCAAGTTAAATAAATCAGTCTCACATGTGTAAACATCATATTATCTCCCTAGTATAAGAACCTGAAAGTATAGACAACATTCAAATAGAACAGTAGATATTGTGGCAGGGACATGGATATGGAACAGGGCCATCTGCAACAGAAGACAGATTCCCTGAGGTAGTGGGAATCGACAGCAGAGGATAAAGGAACACAAGGTAGTTTCTGTGCTCCCAGGAATAGAAACAAACTCTTTGTGTGCTATTCTTGAAATATTAGTAAAATCTTATAATACTTTATACCTGATTAGTTCCTTGTCTTCCACTACCCGCAGATAATGTTTGATCACAACGGAACATCTTTATCCAGAATCCTCTCAGGTCAGTTTGGCTGGAACCCCTCATTACTCCTGTTGCCTATCAGAAATATTCTATCCAGTGTCCTCCATCCTGCTTTTTGACTGCGAGCTCCCATTATTACATGGCGCATCTACAAGTCACTACCAGCTCTCTTCCCCAATGCAAAACCCTATCGCAGTGGTCCATACACTGTTAGCTGTGCTCTGATTTAAAAAATCGCTCTCACTATTTTCAGCAAGTACCCTTAGTAATTTTTCCTTTAACAGATTTCAAGAGATTCAGAGCTGACTTTCCTTAGTCAATCGTACAAAATCTAGCCAATCTGTTACTAGAGAAGAAGTAACACTCATCAGCTGCTACCAGAAAGAATAGTTTGCATATTGAACACGGTGATAACGATGTGTAACTAATTTTGGAAAAGTATGGAAACAAAACATATGTCAGAAACAATGACTTATGCCTGTCAAGCCAGCTGAACCAAGCCCAGCACTTGCTTGTCATTCTCGACAAAACAATAAGATCCTGCCTCAGAAACTAGGAAAACATGGGGAAGGAGTCCAAGAATTAAGGTACAAGCAAACACCTGGAGAGGGTAAGGCAGATGAGATAGGTACAGACATCATCAATGAGGAAGAGATTGAAATTCCTAATCTTACATCCCCGCTCCCACAAAAGGGCAGCTGCCACAGGAACATTTGTGGCTCCAGCATCTCATGAAAGACACAATCAACCATTGTCTCAGTAGCCTTGCCTTTCCTCACAGGGGCAAAGTCATCTGCTATAATCTCACACTGAAATATCCATCATTTCTTTATACATTTGGCTACAGAATGGAGGTGATAATATCCACAAGCAGGGAATATAACTGTGTCTAGGCGGGGAAAAAATCAAATTCCAGCAAAAATATCTCATAGATAACTCACCCCTCACTCCTGGCCTGGCTTGCAGGTCCAGGAACGATACAGGGCCTCTAACATGGAACAGTGATATTTAGGTTGCTGGAAAGTGTAATTGAACATCTACAGCAAGAAGTCTCTAAGCGAGAAGGTAGAGCCCTGGACACTGTAGGGTTATAAGGAATTTTACAAACAAACCTTAGAAGACATGAAGTTGTGTAAAGGGGATGTTGTTTTCTAGCTGCTTAGTACTGAATTCAATCCAATGGCTTGAATTGTGTTTACAAGAAATATCAATGCCATGCAATGGAAGCTAGGTTAGAGGTGGGGCATGATTATTAGAATAAGATGGAGAGTGGTGTCTCCCTCAGATTTCAACCACAAACACAGGAAGCTCATAAAATGATAAATGCATATTCTCTTTCCGATATCTGAAGGTGAAGAAGAGAATGGGAATATTCAGAATAATTTGTGGACCGCCCAGTGCACACATGGGTAGGGGTGACAAAGTAGCAGCACAGTCAGTACTGAAGTATTCTTTCACACACCCTTAGTCATTACCCACCCTAAAAACCAAAAAGCAAAGGGGTACACGAAGAAGGCACTTACGGCACAGCAAAGAAGTCTTTCACTGGCTTTAGTGAAAGCATATGAGTGTAGTACCCATAGAAGTAGAGGGAGAAGAATCCCCCAATCACCACGTCTCCATCCTTGTACACGCTGGTGCCCCTTCTGTGAAAGCAGGCTTCATTATCAAAATTATGCACCAAGAAAGGAAGCTGCAGAAGGAAGATAATAATAAAAGGGAGCATTGTAGAAGTGTCTTCAAAACCTGATGTCTGAGGGAAGGGGAAACTTAGTATGAGCCAGGTGCCTACATGAGTGTGTGTGTGTGTGTGTGTGTGTGTCTATGTGTGTAAGCATGTGCACCAGTGCTACTGTTTTTTACCCAGGCTAATACTTTTATGCCTCTGACTCCTTTAAGTCAAGCCTCCTTGGACCCAGGAGGAATTTGTCATCATTTCTCTTCTGGGCCCTGCATCTGTGGTCTCTTCTTTCGGTGAAAACACGAGTTAGAAATTACATTTGAGAGTTATCATCTCCACCTAGAGGCACATGATTTCACCCAGGTCTTCTGAAGACAACATCCTAGAGGTCTTCTCCTCCTAGGTTAATCTGCTCCCAAATCTATGGCAATAAGCTGTTTTCAGCGATGAAATTTGCTGTGTTGCTAAAGGATTGCACTAGAGGATTAAACGTTAGGTTTTTGTTTCAGTGATGTAAAATGACACACGCTCAGTCAAGAATGTGTGTTATGCCCTTCAAACCTCAAAATAAGGAGATACAGCTTCACAAACAAAAGATTTAGTACAGCCACAAGCACTTCCTGCATGACCCATGTTTTTCTGTGTACCACTCCATGTACTGAAACTCGCAACCACATGTGCTCTCCGTTGCTTGGTGTGCAAATGCTTACACTGAATCCAGAAAATTCAAATTAGTAACTCAAGACTTACACTATAGTAATCTAAAGTTTTGAGTTGTCTAGTGCAGCCCCCTATTCTACTGCTCAGCTCTTTTAAATATCTTAATTTCATGATCTAATATATACTGATGATCCACTTCTACACCTATATTATTGAATTCTTCTATTTAGACTTTTACTGAAACACTAGTCTACATAGGAAAATTTTTGCTACTATAAAGCAAAAGAGGAAGCTTGGAAATTTTTCTTTATTTTCCCATCACCCAAAATCTTAATGAGCAATGAATGATGTACAGGTGGAATTTACAGCCCTGCTCCTCAGTAGATTTTTCAGGACAGTGAAATTCTGCATGACGTTGTAGTGGTTCAATACATGACATTCAGTACTTGTCAAAATATATTTTAGAGAACATCCCATGTGCAGCCAAGAAGAATGTGTATTCTGATGTTGTTGGGTGGAACATTCTGTGAAGTTCTACGAAGTGCATTTGTTCGAAAGTTTGGTTCAGTTCTGATATTTCATTGTTGAGTTTTTGTCTAGACCTATCTCTTTGTGACAGTGGGGTATTAAATCCCCATTAGAACTGTGTTTTTGCTCATTTCCCTGTTCATGTCTATTAATATCTGTCTTATGTAGTTGGGTGCTCCCATATTTGGTGCACATTTATTTATGACTGTTATCTCTTCTAACAAGCATGTAGTGACCTTTATCTCTTTTGGTGAGTCTTGGTTTGAAGTTGACATTGTCTACAAACAGAATCACTACTTATGCTTTTTTCTGGGTTCGTGTTGCATGGAGGATTTTTTCCATCCTTTGATTTTCAGTCTATGAATTTCTTTTTGAGTTAAATGTGTCTTACATACAGCATATTGTTGGATCTTGTGTGTTGATCCGCTCTGCCAATCTGTTTCTTTTTATTGGTGAGTTGAGGCCATTTACATAGATGGTCATAACTGATATGCATTGGCATATCTTTGTCATATTATATTCCCACTGTTGGTTCCCTGCTTTTTCCCTCAGTTTAATTGCTTGCTCTGCCTGGTGGTTTTTTTTTTTTCTGTTGTTGTTCTTGGAGTTATGGTCATTTTTATCTTTGTCTAGAATACCTTTCAAGTGGTGTAAGCGCCTGCCTGGTAAAGGCAAGGCCCTAAGTTTGATTCCTGGTACCAAAAAAAAAAAAAAAAAAAAAAAAGGAATAGAATACCTTTCAGTACTCTTCGTAGCATTGGTTTGGTGGTCGTGAATTTCTTCAGTTGTTATTTGTCACGGCAGTATCTTATTTCTCCATTAATTTTGAAAGATAGTTTTGCACGGTACATCAATCTGAGTTGGAAGTGGTTTTTTTTCAAGACTTGAAATACTTCACTCCAAGCTCTTCTTGACTTGAGAGCTTGTGCTGAGAAGTCTACTGTGGTTCTGGTGGGCTTTCTTTTGCATATAATCTGTTTATTTTCTTTTCAGTATTTTGAAGAGAATAATAAAAAAGAACAATAGCAAAATACCAACAACATAGGCAAAAACAAAACAAAGCAAAAACAATAAAAATGATACGGGTTTCAGAACAAAATGATAGGAATTAACAGTTGTTCTTATATTACATATTGTTATCATCAACAAAGTTGCTCAGATTATCAGATGTAAGAATGCAAGATTGATCAAACCATTAAAGAAAATGAAAAATAAAAAAGAACATTAGAAATGGTACAGAGTTTCACTAGACAAGATGGTAAGAATTCACCAATGGTTGTTATATTGCATATTGTTGTCTGCAAATTAGTTGTTCAGATTACCAGATATAAGAATGTGAAACTGGCCAAAAAGAAAAAAAAAAGCATTGACTTTCAATCAGCCATTAGACTACAGCAGTACAGTTATCCCAGCTATCCTTCTATATATATGTATATTTTTCCCTTCTTTCTTTCTTTTTCTTTTTTCCCTCATCCCAGTTGTTCCTTCCTTTGAGCAATTTATTTCCCTTTCATAATATCTATTATATGTTTTGGATTTTATTTACTCTTTCAGGTTCTTACACTAGAGAGACAATATGATGTTTATACATGTGGGTCCGACTAATTTCACTTATGAGTATGGTCTCTAGTTGCGCCCATTTATCTGCAAAAGCCTCTAGGTTATCTTTCTTTATAGCTGAGTAATACTCAACTGTATAAAAATAACACATCTTTTTATGCATTCCTCAGTTGATGGGCATTTGGGCTATTTCCAAGACTTAACTATAACAAATTGTGCTGCTATGAACATGGGTGCACATACATCACTGTGGTATGATGTTTTTAATTCTTCTGGGAAAATACCCAAAAAGGGAATAGCTGGGTTAAGTGGGACTTTTAATCCTAATTTTGTGAGGAATCTCCAAACTGATTTCCACAGTGGTTTCACCAAACTACACTCCCCCCAGCAGTGGAAAAGTGTTGCTTTTTCCCTACAGCCCCTCCAGCATTTGTTATTGATTGATTTCTTAATGCTAGCCATTCTTTTCTGGGGTGAGATGGAATCTCAGTGTTATTTTAATTCGCATTTCTCAAATGACCAATGATGTTGAACATTTTTTCCATGCATTTATTTGCCATTTGTATTTCTTCATCTAAGAAGCATGTGTTCATCTCAGTTTTCCATTTTTGGAGTGGGTCTTTGAATTTTGGAAGAAAGATAGCCTCTTCAATAAATGGTGCTGTAAAAGCAGGATCTCTACATGCTGAAGACTAAAATTAGACCCATATTTATCACAATGCACTAAAGTCAAAATGGATCAAAGATTTACGTATTAAAACAGAAACACTAAATCTCCTAGAAGAGAAAGTAGGTCAAAATCTTGAACACACAGGGGTAAGCACAGTCTTCATGAACAAAACCCAAACTGCACGGGAAACACTTCAAAGAATCAACAACTGTGATCTCATCCTATTAAAAAGCTTTTGTACTTCAAAAGAAATCACCAGTAGAGTGAAAAGACAACCCACAGAGTGGGAAAACATTTTACCAATTATTCTTTACGGTTTTTCTTTCCTTCATCTTGCAGCTGCAGTGTTGCAAAGGAGAAAAGGAGGAATAAAAAAGAAAAAAATATATGTATACTGATATACACACACGTTAGCTGGGATAGTTACACTACTAATTTCTATCAGTTCATTAAAAACAGTAGTTTGTGCTTATATTGTTTGATTAATTTTTCCTGCCTATATCTTGTAATCTGTGCAACTACTTTGAAGATAAAAATAAACAATATATTAACTATTGTTAATCCCCTATTATTGTGTTTTGAAGTTCCATATCATTTCTTTTATTATTTTTTCCTCTTTAAAATAAAATTTTAAAAAATATATAAACACTGTTCATCATAAAGAACAAAAGGCAGTACAAACTTATGCTGTACTTAATATTGATGTATGAATATTGGCTGATAAATTATGATGTGTAAATAATTGGTGATATGTGGGAGATAATTTATTATTAATTTTTGATAACTTAATAAAAAGCTATCTGAGGGACAAAGCAATGCAAAACATGAGGGACCAGTTTTACAAAGAATTAGAGTCCCTGAAAAGGTGCCAAACAGAAATCCAGGAGACTGAAAATCCTATTGAAAGTATGAGATAATTTTTTAACCAATTTTTCATGCTTGTATCTGGTAATCTGAACAACTAATTTGAAGACAACACATTTATGCAATGTAACAGCCATTGTGAATTCCTACCATCTTATCTAGTGAAACTGTTTCATTTCTAATGTTTTTTTTGTTTTTATTTTTATTCTCTTTAATGGTTTGATCAATCTTGCATTCTTACATCTGGTAATCTGAGCAACTTCGTTGAAGATAACAATATGTAATATATACGAACCACGGTTAATTCCTATCATTTTGTTCTGAAACCCTATATCATTTTTATTATTTTTGTTTTGTTTTGTTTTTGTCTATGTTGTTGGTATTTTTCTATTGTTCTTTTTAATTATTCTTTTTAAAATAAAAAAGGAAAAAGAAAGTATGAGCAGCAGGTGTGATGATGTGAGGACAGAGGCTCAGAACCAGCAGACAGGTCTGGTGTCAGTGACAATTTACCCTGAGATAGCTTAAAAACAACAAAAGAACATGAAGAATGGATGCAATAACACTTGAAGATACAAAGAAGACTAAGCTCAGATTAATTGGAACCAGTGAAAAATCAGACGCCAGAATAAATGGTGTAAAACCCTTTTTAAAAATAGGAGCAGAAAACTCTTCAAATGTAATTACATTAAAAACCTATACTCCAAAAAGTTGGAGAATTCAGAAGAAACTGATATTCAACATCTCTCTTCAGTAGACAAATGAAATCAAAACAGCCCTACTAAGATACCACCTCATTCCAGTAAAAATGTCCATCATGTAGGATTCAAAGAACCAAAAATGCTGGTGAGGATGTGATAGGGAGCCCTTCTATATTATTTATGAGAATGTAAACTAGTACAAACATTTTTTAAAATGAGTATGAGGACTACTCAGAAAAATAGAAGTAGAAATTTTTGACCCAGGTGTTTTCTGGAAGAAGCTAAAGTCATTATATTACAGTGATGCCACCCATACCGATATTCATAGCAGAACAGCTCATAATAGCTAACTCAAAAGAAATTCCAGTAAACTCTAGAAGAGAGAGAATACCAAAATTCTCTAATCACGATGCAGTAAAACTACAAAATATTATAAAATCATAACCACTTACTAGTAGAGCACCTGCTTAGTGTATATCTGTGGATTTGATTTCTAGCATTCCAACATTTGCTTTTCTATAATAAAAATTAAGGAATCAAAAGTAAGGGGGTCAAAAAATGGGTGGATAGAGAAGAGAGGGGAGGGAAAGGGGATGAAAAAAGGAATGAAGAGGTGCTATATCCACGGACCAACTCCACACAAGGACGGAAAACAAAGGAAATGTCAAATTCATATTGAATAAAAAACAAGGAAAGCGGAGGCAAGTGCATCATTAAAGGTGTACTTAATGAGCTTGAAATCAAACAGTAAAGCTTATCAGTCAAAATGCGGCTCTTTGAATAAAGAAAACACACAAACTTACAGATGAACAAATCAAGAGTTAAGAAAGCATAAACAAAATAGGAAATTGTAACATAGAATAAACTGCAGAAAAAGAAATAATTTAAAGTGATCATAACCCTATGCAAATAAATTGTAAAAACCTGGTTGAAATTGATAATTAGCCCAGATTGACTCCGTCAAAAAGATAAACTTTAAGCAAACCCTCACATGAAAAACAGGTGCATCAGTTCACCTACCATGCTGGAATGGTTTTACATGTATCTCACATTTTCAAATATCACATAATTGCCACATATCAGACCAT